GTGGCCAGAAACCACTGGGAACTGGGATTCTTTCTGACAGATGGAATGGTTTCAGGATATATATGGCAATGTAAAAGGTCATGGCTGGTCTGAACAGCTCGGTGCCTCTGCAGACTTCCAGTGACAGTTACAGCTGCAGATGACTAAAACGTAGGGATGCTCACGGCACTCGCATCTGAAGCCAAGGACTGAAATAGTGCCGGCGTGCTCCCAGCCGCTCAGCAGCTTCTGCGGGAGCGGCAGCACGTGGCGTGCCGCAATCCAGACCGTTGCCTAGCACTCGTACTCTGTTTTGTTTGCTCTCTGTGCCTGTGCTGGCTGCAGCTTATGGTAAATGGAGTATTTATCCTATTACCCCCGGGGACCCCCTTTCTATTGCCATCTATTTGAGGAAAAGTAGCTTTACCACATAGATGTTTGGTTCCAACAGATTTGGACCCCCTGGAGCCTTTAGGGCACTCTGTCAGCCCAGAGTACTCCCTGACTGATCAGCTCTGTAGGTTTTCTCCGCAGTGAATTAGCAATTAGGGTTCTGTACAAATGCTTGAGAGTTAAATATGTATATTCTCAAGTATCATGACTAGCCTAGTAGGTTTCATTGTAGGTGAAATGTCTGTTCTATCCTTGGAAAGCAGAGGATGCCATTTATTTTTTTTATTCCACCCACTGTGGAAATCTTGTGAATTCTGTTTATCTTTATCAACACAATTGGGCCCATCTTTTCCTTGCCCTGGAAGCTAAGAAAGGAAAATAACAGGGGAATAACTTATATAGGGTGTAAAAAGGGCAGCAAAGAGACTGTGAGCAGCTTATTCTCAAAGTTTCATATCTATAATATACCAGAATGGCTACAGTCTTGTGGGACAGGAGAGGCTCCTGCTGTCAGAAGGGCACTACTCAAAGTTTAACAGAGCTTAAGGATTAGTCAAACCAATTGATTGTAAGCAAAGTCACAGTGCATGTCCAACACATCTCTGGTAGAGGTTCACACCATCACAGAGCACTGTTCAATCCCAGTATGGCCACTACTGGCTTTACCTAATAATGGCATGGTTAAAGTACAGTGAGCTAAGTGAGCTAAGTGAACATAAAAATGTTAAGGTATTTTTATGCATTTTTTAATCTTGGCCAACTGTTGACTTTAAACAACTGTTCTGGTGAATCTGAGACAGCTTTGTATTTTGCAAATGTTGCTTTGGCAGCGAATTTTACTCTAGTAGTTGACTTGTTACATTTAAATTCTGCACATTAAATTTATAAGTTTTACTGCTCCAGATCTGCTATGCATCCTAGGGCAGCCTCTCCCAGAATGTCAGGTTGTGGTTACTGAAGAGGATGGTCATGCACTGGCAAGCAGGAGTGTCATATGGTTTTATGAATTCAGACATGCAGGTCTTTTACAATGCATGCTAGGAACTGCCAGGAGAGGGAGAAAATTGTGTTTGTCTTCTTGGAGAGAAACTCAGCTTTTGCAAGCTTGGCAAATACTGCCTTGAAAGCTAGGTGCACAACTTCCACTGATTTTAAAACTATAAATGTTTAAATTTCTGAAAATTGCAATCTCTGTCAAAGTACTTTCAAACCCCTGAAAGAGCACCAAGGCAGTGGAGAGAGGAAAGGAAATTTTGCAGCTTGCACATCAAATACCAGAATAGTGAGGAAAGATGTAGATTAATTAGACTGTTTAAATACTCTGAACTCCCTTTACAATGATAATTGTGAAACTGTCTTTTTTCCATATAGTGCTACCATTTGTACACTAAATGAACATCTCTTCTTCAGTCTGGAATGAAGGATGTGAACACAACAGTAAAGCACTGGTCTATGACACACAGTGCCACAGAGCTGTGATCCAGGCACTGAAGGACAATCATTCCACACCAAACCACAGGTGTCTTCAAGGTGGGTAGCACATTAGTCCCTTGTGCATGTGACAAATCCCTTCTGCTGTCTACTGTGATCAGCTGTGAGGACAAGAATACCCTAAAGTGAGAACTAAGTCATTGCAACACAAGTTATTGTTTAACTTAACACCATTCTCCATTCATAGCTTTCAAAAACAGAGAGTTTTGGAGAAGAAGGCTGCAAAACTGAACTAGCATCAAGGCTTGGCCTTTTCTATGGCATAGGCTATGTTTGGGGCACCACCAGAAATCCCAGCCTGACAACAACATCTCTCTTCCCCATGGACATGCAGTCATTCTTTCTACATCCAGAATGGGGCCAAAGAGAGGGGGAGGTAAGAGATTAAATTGTCCCTGGACCTGTGTTCCCATGACGCAAAAGATTAAAGCTGAAACCTTAAAGAAGGTATTGGTATTTCTTATTTTTCATTGTGCTTCAGGTACACTGCATCAAAATATTTACTTTTTACCTTGGGAGGTAGGGCTTAGGTTCTTCCTGGGAGTCAGAAAATAACTGCGGTGGGAAGTGCTGGCTGAGGTCACACCACGCTGGTTCCCACTGCCCCCAAGAGCCAAGTACTGCCAAGTAAATGTTCCCTCCACAGGGCAGTCTGAAAGTGTGAAACTCCTAGAACAGAAGTCAGGATGCAGCCACATTGTCAGACCTTCTTAAATCCACTTATGCCATGAGAATGTTCTTAAAATATAAATATGATTAAATTGTTCTTGAAGACATATGTGTTCTGAGGTATGAAAGATGGCAGAAGGGCGATTCATTCTCTAAGAACTTCTGTAAAATTTTCTTTAATAATTCATTTCTCTGCTTAATTCTTAGATGCTTATACCTCATGATTCTAAGGCAGATTTCTGAAATACCAAGACAGATTTATTATTTGCCTGAGGAGACTGAGATTTTTATTTAAAGAAGAATCCCAGTGGTCTGACAGGCAGGGGCTAAACTCCCCTTGAGTGCAAGCCTTGTGCTTGCATTCAAGGACTGATCTGCCATAGTCCAGGTGGTAGGTCTCGGCAGAAGCCATTCCAATTCCCCTCTGGCATACCTAACCATTTTTTCTCCCCAGGACCCTGTCCCAGGTCTTGGCCTAATTCAGAGCTGGGAGAGAGTGAGGATAGGCTGTGTTTGACATCCATAGAAGCATTACTGCACCCACTGCCATGTAGTTTGCAGATCCATCGGTGCTGCCTGCCCTGAAAACTTCAGAGATTGAAGGGGGAAGGTCTCTCAGGCCTCTCTGTGTTCCCTCCAGCACAGAACTGTTCCCTACTGTACCTTATTTACATGTGATATGATTTGCACACCCCATCATGACTCTATCAATTTGCTCCCACAATTTTGAAATTATTTTTCTGGCTTGACAGAGGCTTCCTTATTTCGGATGATAAGTATGCCTTTTCCTCTGTTCATTTTCTTCCCAATTGCTGTTGACTACAGTTTGTAAAGCTCTTAAAAGGATTCCTCCGTTCCACTCACATCTCTTGAAAAAGTTCTCTTTTTTTCTTACCCCCACTTACTTCTAATTTAGCATTTACACACAGTTACATCTTTTAATCTCTCTCCATTAATTAATACCATCGGCTGCTTAAGAATTTTGATTGCTTTTCTCTAAATTCCCAACTGCTGTCTTTTGATCTTTCTGCTTCTGAGGCTTGCAGACAAAACAAACACCAGCCTATGCACCATCTTGCCAGCACAGGGTGCAAAGGGACAAAGGGCCGCCCAGGCTGTGATATATTGCTTTTAAAAATTGCAAATTGAACTGTTCTCTCACTCACTTGCTTTTTTTTTTTTTCCCCTTCTGGAGTAGGGAGGACACTAGATTCTTTTTCAAACTCATGTCCAAATTACTGCCCATTAATGCTCATGGTCCTTCTCCATCTTTGTTTCTGCATGTGGTGTTCTTCCTTTCTGAGGCCTGCAGGTAACATGCTTTGTTGTGACAGAAATTTTTCTGCTCTTTTAAAATCTTTCTCCCTTTCTGTTATCATAGGAATAAAGCAAACATCCAGTGCTAAGCCTTTAGCAAGTCATTTGCAATGTCAATCAAAAGCAAATTCTGCACCGAACAGTGACATTGTCCAGGGCCAGAGCATTCTCTGTGCTGCAAAAATTGGACATTTAACCCAAAGCTTATTAATTAATGAAGCATATATATACAGAATCATAGAATCACAAAATTGTTAGTGCTGGAAGGGACCTCTGGAGATCATCCAGTCCAACCCCACTGCCAAGGCAGGGTCACCTGGATCAGGTGACACAGGAATGGGTTCAGGTGGGTTTTGAGTGTCTCCAGAGAGAGAGAGGGTCCATGACTTCCCTGGGCAGCCTGTTCCAGTGCTCTGCCACTCTCAGTGTAAAGTTCTTCTTCATGTTGAGGTGGAACTTCTTGTGTTTAAGTTTATGGCCATTGCTCCTTGTCCTGTCACGGGACAGCACTGAAAAGAGTCTGCACCATCCTCCTGGCACCTGCCTTGAGGATATTTGTATGTATTGATGAGATCCCCTCTGTCTTTTCTCCAGACTAAACATCCCAAGCTCCAGCAGTCTCTCTTCGTAAGGGAGATGCCTCAAACCCCTGACCACCTTTGTGGCCTCTGCTGGGCCCTCTCCAGTAACTCCTCGTCTGTCCTGTACTGAGGAGCCCACAACTGGCCACAGTACGGTATATACCAATTGCACACACACATTAGGCACACGTTCGTCCGTATGAGCTGTGCTCGCCCCCTGCCCTCACCCCGCCCCCTGCCTCACCGCCCCCCTCGCCCCCTGCCCGCCGCCGCCCTCCGCCGCCCCCCTCACCCGTGCCCTCACCCTCCCTGCCCACACCCCGCCCTCAGCGGAGCGTGGAGCGCCCCCCGCCCCCTGGCGGCCGCCCTCCCGCGCGCCCCCGCCGCCCTCCAGCGGCGGCGTAGTCCGCCCCGGCAGCTGTGATTGGGTGGTGGCGCCGCCGCCCTGCACTGTTGGCGGCGGCGGGGCGGCCGGCGCGGGGCGGGCGCGGGGGGGGCGGGCTGTCATGGAGGCGTCGCAGCGAGCGCGCGGCGGCGGCGGTGGCGGGCGCGTCCATCGCGGCGGCGGCGGGCGGCGGCGGGGAGGCGGTCCGGAGCGCTCCGGGAAGGTAACCTGCGGCTGGCCGCCTTTCCGGCCAGCTCCGGGGAGGCGAGCGGGGCGGGCTGGGTACCGTGAGAGGAAGGAGGGAGAGAGGGAGGGGGCCGGGGCTCTGGCGCACCGGGGGCAGCCGTGACGGGGGCGCGGGCTCGGGCTCTCCCGCCGCTCGGGGCTCTGCGGAGCCCCGCCGGCGCCTTTCCACCCGGCTCTCCCTGGGGGTGCGTGCTTGGGCTCCCGGCGGGAGCGGGGGGCTCTGCGCTTGGGGTGCGATCCGAACGAGTCGGGGGGGCGGTCGGAGCGCTGTGAGGGGAAAGAGGATCGTTCTGTGGCTGGTATGGGTAACACGGTGGTAGGATCAGCCCCCTCCCCCCCGAGTAGCTTTCCTCAGGGGCCACCGCGCGGCCAGGGAGAGTCCCATGGAATGCAGCTGGACGCCGGCGCGCCACAACAGCGACTTGTTTGGGTATAGCTGCTGGAAAACACAATGCGGTTACTTGTTTGCCAAATAGGACGTGAAAACATTGAGAATTCTTCCTTCTGCAGATTTCTGACAAGCACAGCCTGCGCTTCGTCAGGACCCTGTTCAGAGTCTCCATGTTGTCCCATCGAGATGAGACTGATCTGAGAAGAAGCTGGGGACGTTCTGTTTGGGCTGAGCGTTTCCATTAAGGTCTTGACTGTGAAAAAGGCAGGCCTGTATCCTTCAGGAAGCAGAGAGGTACAGACTAAATGGATCTAAAGACAGCAGTCTTCAACGCAGCTCGTGATGGCAAGCTGCGGCTCCTTTCCAAGCTACTGGCAAGCAAAACAAGGGAAGAGGTGGCCCAACTGATGTCAGAGAAAACCAATGGTGCCACACCACTTCTGATGGCAGCCCGCTACGGTCACCTCGACATGGTGGAATACTTGTTGGACCATTGCTCTGCGTCCATAGAAGTTGGTGGTTCGGTGAATTTTGATGGCGAGACCATCGAGGGGGCTCCGCCGCTGTGGGCAGCGTCGGCCGCTGGCCACCTAAAGGTGGTTCAGTGTCTGTTGGATCACGGTGCATCTGTCAACAACACGACCCTGACAAATTCGACGCCTCTCAGAGCTGCCTGTTTTGATGGTCACCTGGAAATAGTAAAATACCTTGTGGAGCACAAAGCAGATCTGGAAGTATCAAACCGCCACGGGCATACCTGCTTGATGATCTCCTGTTACAAAGGCCACAAAGAAATTGCTCAGTATTTACTTGAAAAAGGAGCTGATGTTAACAGAAAAAGTGTTAAAGGTAAGATAGTTTCTTCACTTTTGTTGTGGTGAATAGCAGTAAAGGTACTCACTTCTTCAGGAGGCTGATGTGCAAAAGTACTCTGCTTTCATGAAGTGACATAGTAAGAGATTAAGTGTATTTAGCTGTGTGTCTACTTTTTTTTTTAATGTACTCTTTTGTTAACATGGGTTATAAAATTTCACTTTAAATTGATAAACTTTAATCTTAAGCCCCTAATTCTTAAAAAGACTTAGTCATATGAAATGTCATATTCATGCATGTGTTAAAAGCTAATAAACTTGCTGAGAACTCTTCTTTTTAGTAGGCTGGTGTAACAACATACTCAAATATGTGAGTGTGCGTTATTGGTTTTCAAACTATTTCTTGACAAAGCAAAATGCTGTATGTAAAACTGACCTGTGCCAGTAAGGGTAATACAAGAAAGTATGCATAAAGGAGAAAAAATTACTTTCTACATTGGAAAAATTAAAAACGACTTTGCTCTTCACCCTCTGCCTCCGAACTATTGAGTAATTTTTGACCTTTTTCACTGTTGGTAAACAAAAACACATAATAGGATTAAAGAAATGAAGCTGCAGGTGACTGTGATCTCAACAGAAGAATTCCAGTGGCTCACAGATCTCAAAATTGCCCCTGTTTGCACTTGCCCTGGTGTTACCACTCAAAATGAAGATTTCTGGGGTTTTTTGATGGGATCATAAGTTGGATCTCTTGGCTTGAATACTGGGGGTTTTATTACATCTCAAACTGGCATTTGGATGTGATATTTACCTGAAAAGCAACCAGTTACTGCAAGTTACAGTTAATGTTTTAGCTCACTGGGCCAGGATTTTATTTCAGCAGGTTTTGGGTTTTGTATATATATGCATATATATATTACTAATCAGTAATAATTTTTTTTTGTAGTGTAATACTTCTACAGCCTGTTTCAGGCTATTACATTTGTAATAGTATACTGTACCTTGACTGTTATTTCTGTTAAAATATACTTAGTGTCTAGATTATTGTGTGACTAGATTATTATTATTGGTAAACACCAACTATGAGAGTAATCTTTGGAAAAGCTTCTTGGTTAAATATGTGGTTTTTCAGCAAATTGTGCAGATATGTGGGTCTAATGTAAAGGAAGCTAAACTACAGATCTGTCACAGAGGTGGGCAGAGCAAAATAAATCTTACTTTGTAAGGATTTGAGGTTGCTTATGAATCATCATGGACTTGTGGTAGGATAAAAATGTCATTTTTCTAAACAGTGTTCTTGGAATAGCAAGCTAAATATAAAGTGTGTAAACAATTAAAAACTTGGGGTTTAGTTTTAAATCTATCCCTTCATACAATAGGTATGAACAGAAGAGTGCTGTTAAATATTTGATGTAACAGAGAAAAAAGACGTAACTCTGCAGTGCTTTTCCTCCCTCATTTTGTGTTGGTGGAGTAGGCTTTACCTTACTCGTTCTTTTTGTTCACTTTATTAGTACATTAGCATTTTTGTCTTTGTTTAACTGACTGAGTGGCAGCCACACATTCCTGAGGATTTTCAGTACTGTCTATTATCTTAATTCCTTTTTCTCGCTTCTTCCTTTAGTTTCTGTGTGACTTGCACCTAGGCACACTAGCAAAAGTTCTTAAGGTATATAATTGATCTGTAATTAAAGTTGCATTGAATATGGTTTAGCTCATTAAAACTCATTTTATACTTTGAACTGCCACGTGTACAAATGGATGTCTGTAGGTAATAGTTATCTGCTGGTAAGTATGTGGAAATCTCTGGTAGGACAGGAACGTACTTTTTGGTGTATTAAAGAAGTCTGATCTCTGAAGTTAAGCAGTGGTGAAGTAAAGCAAGCAAGCACTATAAACCTTGGAAGTCATCTGTGGAAAGGCAGAAGAACTGAGGAAAACTGGTAACCCTTAGTATTGCGACATTATGGGCATTGCAGTTTCTGAGACTCAGCAGACTCACCTTCTAAGTTTTGTATGCAGAAATGCCATTAATTTTAAAATGGATCCAGCAGGATTCATTTTACATTGTCACGTTCCACCTCAAAGACTTTTTGTATTACTTTCAGTTTCTACCCCTCCCTGCTATGTAGTAAACAGCTGACAAGTGTGTCTGGGCTTGTAGCTGGAACATACAGAGCACCTGAGTGCTCTGCTCTTCAGTAGTAGAAGTTGTTGCTGCCCTTGTACGTGAGCTCTTTTTAGGTAGTCCCTGTCTTGGGCCATGTATAGAGAAACCTGTTGTTCTGTGAAAGATGTAAAAAGCTTTAACTATTTCAGATTTTGTTGCATTTAAAATTGCAATGCTCCTTGTAAGAGCAGAACTACGTAACTTCAGTGGAGGTGCTGTTGTGGGAGATTACTATGCAGCCTGGGGTGGGACAGGGGACAAAAATTACTTGGACTGTTTCTTGTGGTTTTCCACTGGATTTTCATATTGCAAAGTCGAATTTAATACATATTTTAAAACTCAGGAAAATGTAAATATGAAAATGTTTTGAAGTGTTGGCAGTTCCAGGGAAAAATCCAAATAGTTTGATATTAGAGAAAACAGGTAAGTTCACATATGTCTAAGTGTATAGAGCAGGTGAAAGGTGAAATACCGATTCTAAAATACAGGCAGAATCCCCCAGCTGTATTTTGGACTGTGGAAATTCAGAATGCAGAGGTTTTTAAAAGACAGTTATGAAAGTGCAGAAGTACAGGTGTTCATAAAGATTTCAGAGTCTGGGTCAGTTAGCTGCTACACTGAGGTGAAGTGTAGATCTGGCACTGTCTCATAGGAGATGGTGCTGAAGAAGGAGGTTATAAGGTGTTTGGGGTAGATGAGTGCTCTCCTGTGAAAGGTGGCCAATGGTTCTGAATTGAAAGTACAAACCTTTAGTTGTCTTAGTTTCTACTGTTTTGCAAATCTGAGCTTTCACAGTTTCCCCAAACTTCCGTGTAGCACATAGGCCACAGAAGTGTAAACAAAGGGTTTTTTAAAAATGTTTTATAAGCCATGGGGACAAACTGATACCTAGGGTAAGAAGGGTAGGTGGGATTTTTTATTTAATAATTGTGGAAAATTGGAAAGGTATCTCTAGATGTGAAGCAGCCAAAGCAGTGCTTTACATAGGTAATTCACCACTGTCTTCCTAATTAATAACTTTCTCTAGTCTACTGGTTTGAGAAGCTGCAGATAAAAATAAGAAAGCTTAATAAGTTTCGCTTGCATATATTAATACTCAGGTGACAAGGTTCTATGCTGCTTCTAAAAGGAGGAATGGTGTGGATAATGCTAGAGTGGCAGGAACCCCACTTTTTTCAGGACGAGGCATAACCCTAGAAGTAAAGCTCAAGTGAAGCAGAGCTCTACCTCTGCGCCGGATGAGGAGGACGTTCTGTGACGGCTGCATGCAGATTTATGTTTGCTGCATTGCAAAGCCTGCCAGTGATTTGTTATTAGGGTGGTGCTCCCTTACAGTTACCTTCAGAACAGACCTTTTGATTCTCTAACACGTTTCACTGATTTGTTTCTGTGCACAGTCTTCGTCTGGCGATGTGTAGGAAGGGAAATGCTTATTCTCTTAATACAAGTGGCAGTGGGCTTAGGGCCTTCAGATTACAGATCTGGGCTCTTTGAGACTGTATTTGTTGGATTTTATATTTAATAATACAATATTTAATATAAATGCCCGGAATAAAATTCTTTTCCATGAAGACTGTTTTTAATGGAATCTTATACTTTTGTTTTAACTCCAGACGTGACACAAGATTCAAAATCTTGCATTTTGAAAATTTGGAATGCGTATTTTGATAATTTGTGTTATGCTTTATCCTCCTCCGCCAGATTTGCAGAAAGAAGGGGAATGAATATCCATTATTGCAGGAATTAATGAGTTAAGTTGTAGATTAAGTAAACATATGCTGATAGCCAGGATGATCTGAATGCAATGGCACAGTGACTTTTTTTCCAAATACCTGCTTGAAAGGCAGGTATTTTTTCTGAACAAGTCATTCCATTCTTCAGATGTTTGTTATATGGTCTCTTCAAGGTGATCTTTGTGGTTTTGCAAGTCATCTTTGCTAACTCTATCCCTCTTCTGTAGTTATCAGACTTGTCAGCTAGCCAAAAGACTAATTTTTTTTCTCCTTCTGATTATTAGAAAGTCTAATAAGAACTGCTGAACTAGGCACTCTTTTAGATGTCTCTTGGGATCTGCACAGGAGCATTTGATTGCATTTTAAAAAATTGAAAATAATATTATGATTCCTAAATTCCACTGGCACAGTGTTTGATTACAATAGCTTTGTAGAATAATATGGAAAACAAGGCTTGTTGACTTTGCTTCCTCACTTTGGAAAGCACAGAAGCATACAGACCTCTGTCTCTATGGGTACTGTATCAAGGTTATATGTGCAGTAGTACTTTATCAAGGGCTAGTGCTGTTTCAGTATTGTGTTTTTATGGGCTAGTGGAAAGTGTAACATTGAAAGCTGCCGGTAAGGGAAAAAATCCTTTACAAACTCGGAAGACCCAGAAATAGGGGGATTATAGAGATGCATGCTTTTTCCTTTGTGATCAGTATGGTTTAGTATGTGTTAAAAATAATTCATTTTCTCTTACAGTAAACATTAAGGAGTCTTGACAGGTTTGTTTGCTGCTGAGGTTGTTTGTCTTGTCTGCTTGCCAAGATTCATACATTTATTGGTGACGGGGCAAGGCAGGGGCTGGGAAGGGAACAAAAAAGACCAAAACCCCTTGGGCTTTATTTTTGCTTGTTTGTTTTGTTAGTTGTTGCTTCACCCCCCCCCCCCTTTGAATAAGCCCTTGCTCTAAAAGTGTGCTGTGTTGCTTTTATTTCTGTTTTGGTAGGTATTACATGGTGCAGTGCACTGCATTTTATAGATATATTGTTTGTGATACCGTGTGGAAACTGAACTTCAGTAAGAATGTCCGTAAATTGAATTAAATTAAAAAGATACATTTAAGGGAATAAATTCTTGAATTTCAAC